TGAACTTTCACAAATTGAGTGCACCTGAGTAACCAGCACTTGGAGTAAGAAAGAGAACTTACCAGCATCCAGAAGCTCCCTGCCCCACACCGTGCAGCCCCTGCAGGTACTTAGTCCCACCGGTCCCCAAAGGATAATTGTTATCTTGACTTCAATACCATAAATTCATTTATTTTAAAATGTTATACAAATGGTTTGATACAAAACTTTTGTGTCTGGCTTTTCTTCACTTCACTTTATGTTTACAAAGCCCATATACTTTTCTGTTTTTATTTTAATAGTTAATTATATCCATCTTCACAGTTTGTACCATCTTGTACTGCCCACCTTCTGCCTCATGTCTTGTGCCAACAGAGAATTCACTGTTACCCTAGAAGGCTAGGCAGCTGATGGGCTATGGTGACTGTCACGGACCATGGTACTTTCCCTGCTACCTGTGCCTCTAAGGAAGTCAGGCATGTGGGGCTTCAGAAGATGACAGCCAGAGGGCTTTGGTGCTGGGCACTTGCTGAGCCAATTCCTCAGGGAGGAGGTTGCCTACACAGGGATGCCAGCCCCTGGGATGACACCTCTGCTCTCCTGGTCTGGACTACTGCTTCCTTCTGAGGGAAACCAGCCCAAGGAGGGCAGCTTCAAAGCTCTGCTTCCCTTAGCATCACTGAGATACCTCCGCTCCCAAAGCCATGGGATAAATAATAGATAAAATCACTGCATTTGAATAGGACAGTTCTTGGGACCTCAGAATATTTTACTGAGGCATTAAAGGAAAGTTGTCTTCTGCACACTGGATGGAGGTGAAGAGGGGACAGAACATACTTTCGCTTGGTGCTTTGGTGTAGCAGAAGCAGGTTGAAAATGAGCTCCTGGGATTCTGGAGCCACTTTTTTTCTTGTTTGGAGGAATGCCCCTTTCATTTCCCAGGGCACCATGAGTCATGCCTAAAAGTCTAAACAAAAAAGAGGGCTGTGGGGATCTACTATGCTTCTGTTTGCTTTATTCCTGCAACCCAGTCCCTCCTCTGCACTCACCACCCCACAAAGGAGAAACACCACAGCTTCTAAGGCTGCAGGAAACAATGGCTTGGTTGTATTGCCCCAGCGATCACTCAATGCTGATTCCTCGGTGGTTGATGCTGGATGTTGGTAAAGTTAAACATCGGGGTTTTTTTTTAAGATGATATGGTCGTAGATGCCAGGATATTAGTTTGAATGCCCTTCAAGTAGCCCAGCCTCTTATGTGTTGTAAATGTCTCTTTGGTTATATCCCTGAAAAATTAGTTACCTATTTTTTAACTTTTTCAGTGAAGAGGACCTAACTCCTCTGATCCCCCCTTCTTCAAAACAGCCCCACCCTTGCTGAGCAACTGTGCTTGTTAGGAAAGGCCCTTGTCGAGCCAAAATTTTCCTCTAATAATTTCCACCCAGTAGTCCTAGTTCTTGCCTCTAGAGTCATCCAGATCTATTCCAATCCATGTAATAGATTTTTAACTATTTGAAAAATAACTATTTTGTAACCCCCTTAGGTGACTTACTGTATTCCTACTTTTGACAGGAAATTGAATCTTCTCTTCTCAGTTAAACATCCTTAGTTTTAAAATATTCTATGAAGTGGTTTTCTAACTCCACATTTAACTGCTTTCTCGTTTGTCCACATCATTTTTGAAATGTAATGCCCACGTCAAAATGTATTATTCAAGTATAAAAATTAGAGGATTGTAATACTAACATATTAGTAGTTTAGTAGCTCTCTGGATTTTAGTTGAAAACTCAAAAACAGTCCCAAATATATGTACAAGACTTTAGTGTGATAAGATTTCTATCTTGCGTAATTTATCATCATAAATTCCAGATGGATTAAAGATTGCACCATAAATGTCTTAAGAGAAAATATTGATATGGTTATATAATCTAAGGGTATGGAATGACTTTTTAAGGATAATTCTAAAGGCAGAAACCATGAAGAAAATGACTAATAAATTTGATGACATAAATGCATTGTGTTTGTGAAAAAACATAAAAAACTAAAGAGACAAATGATAAACTGAAAAACACTTTTGTAACAACCATATCAAAGGATAAATACACTTACTATAAAAAGATCCCTTAATACTCATTCTTAAATAAAAGATGACTCATCTTAATAGAAAAGGCAAAGGAAATAAACAGGCAATTTTAAAAGATTTAATATAGTTAATATATGAAAAATGTCCAACTCTACAAATAAGGAAAATATTCTCATTAAGCCAAATACAGTTATTCATCAATAAAACTTTTTTAGAGAGGGGGTAAAACATGCCACTAACTCTATAATCAGTCTTAGGAGGCAATGAAGGAAAGTAAACCCTTATGTTCTGCTGTTTTAAAGGTGGATTGGCACAATCCTTCTGGAGAACTATTGGACAATATTGACAAAATGAATCAAAAGTTTTAAAAACTATATGTTCATGCCATTTGATTTAACAATTCCACTTCTGGGTAATTATCTATGTAAGTAATTAGCATTATGCTAAATATTATAGATATAGAACATATATATATTTATACATGTATTTATTTATGTATATATGAATGTACTAGGTATTTATGCACATATATATACACATACATTCACTAAAGCATTATTCATAACTGTACTCTCCAAATTTTTAAAACCATATATTCCATCTGTAAAAAAGAATTAAGTAAAATTGAGCATACCCCTAATAGGTCTATATATCTTTCATCAATTAGTTACAGTAGTATCATAATATCAAGTAATTATAAAACATATGAAGTAGATATAGTAAAGGCTGAGTTACACTGAAACAAAAAGAAGTCCTAACATAAATTTCTTCCCATAAATGAAATGAATTATCGTGTGCAACTCCTGCTGTGGGAACTTCTGATTCTGGAGACCATTGATTTTGATTAAATCAAAAGTCAAAAAAATCTTAAACATCTGCTGATACTTAAGTGTTATTTAAGTTTTTTCTAGTAGACTGGTCAATATGATGGAATAGCATATAGCATTTTGAAAGTACTGTAGAATAAGCAGATTATAAAAGCTTATTTAGTGGTTCTATTTCTCCGTAGTGGTAAAGTAACATATAGTAGACTATGCTTCCCACAGATTATTATTATAAATTCTGTACAACATAATAAAAACAACAATGTGAAAGCACTGGAGGGTGACCAAAGGTAGTCATGCCTAGAGGGGAGTTGATCCCTCAGAGTAAAGAACTGCAGTTGGGTGAGATTCACAGTCATCTGACTTTGTCCTGGGGAAACTCCCAAACCCTCCACCAGGACAGCTGGAACCCTGGCAGAAAGCCAGGGAACTAGTGGCTGGTAAAGTCAGGAGACAGAGTTTAGGATAGCCGGAGCAACAAGAAAGTGAGGGTGGACATTTCAGAAGGGAGGGGGCCAGAGAATGAGCTCTCAAATCTACAAATAACTTTGACCAAATCTTTCAAGTACCCCTGAACTGGGTACCTGTAAGGAGACTGCAAGAATCCCAGCAAAAAGCAAAGCTGGAAGGTTGAAGAACTGAGTAGAGATTTCAGGGGCTGCCCATCACAAGAGAGACAGAGTTTGAATCTAGTTAAATGAACTTCCTGCTAGAAGGAAAATCATTGCTCTTCAGAGAAAGAATGAAGAATCCAGTCTCTACAACACACCATACACAATGCCCAGTATAGAATTAAAAATTTTTAGACATAGAAGAGAAGGGGAAATAAAACAATAGAAAGAATAGTCCATAGAAAAATAACCAAAGATGATGATGTTGGAATTGGCCGAAAGGATTTAAACACAGCTATTACAAATATGTATAGGAAGTTCAAGTAAGATTGGTTAAAATGAACAGATGGGGGAACATAGAAGAGAAATGAAAATGAAAAGAAGGAAAAGAACCAAGTGGAAACATTTGAGCTAAAAAGTCTGATTTAGACAATTCACTGGATGGACTTTACAGTAATTGGAATCAGAGAAGGAAGTTTTATTGGACTTGAAGAATAAATCAGTGGAAATAGTCTAATCTGAAGAATTAAGAGAAGAAAATGACTAGGGCCTCAGTGACCTGGTGTAGACGCCCTGGGATCAAGTGCGACCCCTGGAGGGCGTACCTGCCACTTCCTGACTGAAGCTCGTAAGTGTTCTGTGCTGCCTCGTTATCAGACACAGGGGCCAACAGTGTACCTGTAGGCCAATGTTTGGTTTTACATTTACATATCCAGGTTACATTTTAGCTCCTATCTACTCAGGCTGTCAGTTGCTCAATATTATTTACTGACATCACCGGTAGCAATTTTCCCTGAAACTGGGCATGGTGTAACCGTTACCGAGAAACTGTCTCCCATGGGTCTCGCATGCCTGTGTGTCTTGTGAGTAAGCACATCACTGCTTTTGTTCTGGGCCATCTTTTTTATGATCTTTGTATAGCAAGCCTCCTTGGAGGATAGAGATAGTTTTCATTCCAGAACAGAGGGCAGTTTTGTTTACTGTCCAGTGTGAGAAAGAGCAGGCTTAACACCCATTACTACAGAAAGGAGTTCCCAAAGCTCCCAGATTCTTCTGGAACCCAACCCACTGAGTGTCCAGGCATCACAGCCCTGTTCATGTTGCCTTGTGCAAATTGGGACTTGAAGACTTGGTTAAATGCTGACCGCTCTTGCTGTGAGCAGACAAAGCCCTCTGTTTTTTTCTGCTGGCAACCACAGAACTGTGGCAGGCGAACTTGTTAGCTCTAAGCAGGGTGACACCACATAGCCAGCACAGTTCTTGACAACCACTTTCTCATTATCAAAACCCCAAAGGATTGTTAAAACAAGTAATCAGACCCCTACTTCCCAACAGCTGGGCACCCCTCCTCCTCCCTGCCCGCCCCCAGTGGCAGGGGCCCTATGTTCCAGTAGAGTTTCATGTTATCCCACCGGCCCTCCTCTGTCCTCTGTGTGGCCCCATGTGGACCACTCGGTACACTCACTGTGGAGAAAGCAGTTTCCTTCAAAGTAGCTCTCCTACCTGAATTCTCTTGCAATTCCATTAACAAGAGCCGAAGTGGGTCTTCACTACTCAGTGATATATCTTGAAAATGCAAACATCCAGGGGAGTTGCGTGCTAGGTGAGATGAGTCGGTGAGGGCCGGGTGTTACCAGAAATGCCAAACCTCGCTTGTTCCGAGGGAGAAGCCAGGAACGGGTGTAGGAGAGGAGCACTGGCGGGGAGGGAAGCGAGCGTGTTTCCGTGTTTCCGTCCTAGCCGCTGGGGCCTGTCCAGCCCAGGGCGCTGCACCCGAGGGCTGTCCTGCTGTGCGGGCAGCCGCCCAGCTTCCGCTCTCACTCTGTAACTGTGCTGCTCTGTCAGCAGCTGCGGGGCTGGTTTCTGGGCTTGACTCTAAGAAATCAATGAGGAGAGAGCAGTGGGCAAGGAGGCTGGGGCACATAAGCTGGGTGGCACCACTAGTACTTAAACCAGACGGTGGGATTTAGCCAGGGTTATTGCTTATTGCTCATTTCCATTATTATTAACAGAAGCTCTGTGCTTGGGAAGAGGAGAAAGCAGAAACAGAGACATTGGCTGTTGTATAGAAAAGAGGAATTCTGTTTTTGAGATTTGAGTCTTTTTCCCTCCACAAAAGGAGACATGAACTTGATCCTAGAGAAAATGAACCTCCCTCACACGAGGAAATTAAGATCTGGTAAAGACCCAAGGGTCAAGTGATGGATTTTACAGACTGCTGGAGGGAGATCGATGGCAGCCTGGCATGCGGGGCTGCATGGACCAAGGAGAACAGCCAAGCCATTGCCCTGGGGCCGACCCACTCTGCTCTCCCTCCACTGCCTCTGTGGGCGCTCAGGATAGGGGGGCAGAAGTGTCTGCCTGTGCACGACCCTCACAAGTCCCTTGCTCTGTGCTGGGAGACTGGCTCTTGTTTTCAGCCAGCAGAGGATTCTGGGGTCCAGCTGGCTTGGTGTGGGAGGCAGGAGACTGTGCTGAGAAAGTTAGGTTGAGAACTCAGGCTGAGGGGTCACAGAACCTTTTCCTTATGCTTAGAAAATAATTGTATGCTACAAGGTTTTTGAGAGACCAGGTGATAAGAAATAGAAAAACATTTTTTGTTGTTTGGTTTTTGGAAAGGCTTAGCAAATCTAGATTTGGAATCTTTCACATCCATCAGGGCATCTATTCATCCTTATTGTAATTTCACATAGATCAGCAAATGCAGATATTTCTCCCTGCCTATTCACATCCTTCATTAGGATCAGACAGACCACATATGGCCAGGACTTTCTGCCCCTTTCTAGTGCCCCTTCCAGCAAGTCACGTCAAGGGACAACAGCAGAAAGGAGAACAGAGGAGATACTTCCTCCCATGGACTTAATTCTGCCTCTGAATTGGCTGCCTGGATCCCATTAATAATCCAGGTCCTGTTCAAAGTCTCCCTCGTGGGTGCCTGGTCAGCCAGAGTCCCAGCCACAGGTGGGGCAGCCATCCCCCTTGACACCCTGGCTGAAGGGACAAGGACGTCAAGGAAGCCCACCCAGGCTGGGCTCGGCCAACTAGACTTCCACTCTTGGGAATTTGAACTAAGAGCAGCAGAAGAACTTTCTAGTTGGTGGGTGTTTGAAAGATGAAATCCTAGGGGTTGAGGTCACCATGCTGAGCCATGGGCATATCAGCAGGAGCATAAACTGTGAGTTTTTACCAAGGCCCATGAGGCTCTGCAGGTCCAGCGCCCCACCTCTGGCTTTGCTTCCCACTGTTCACCCTGTGGTCCCTCCATTCCAGCTGCCCTAGTCTCCTGGCTCTTCCTCAAACACATCAGGCACGTTTCCACTCAGGGCCTCCGATTCTTTATCCTGGCCTTTTTTACATGAAATGATCTGTACATGAAGAAGCGCCTAGCAGTAACACACAGGTGGACACTATCTGCTACCCCCACACACAGCCTGATGTCAGACAGGCCTGGGTTGAAATCTCTCACTTTGCCAGTTAACATGTGCATTGTTTGAGACAAGCTAACTTGCCCAAGCCTCAGTTTCTTCTTCTGTACAAAGGGTACAATGAATGTTGCAGGATGCTTGTGATGGTCAAATCGAATCACAGACACAAAGATCAACCCTAAGATTCTGCCGCATGGAGATTCTGAGAACAGTGCACAGGCATTCCCTTTTTCTTTTTCTTTTCACTAATCAGCGTTGCCTGTGTTTATGTTTTTAAATAGCTTTTTAACATTGTAAAGCAAAACACGCACATCACAAAAAACATGAGAAGTATGGAAGATTATGAAGAAGGAAGAAGAAAACCACCCTAATCCCATCACCGGAGGCAACCACTGGTAACACTCTGGTTTACTTTCTCCAGTGCTATTTTTAAAACCCCCAAACAGCTCCATTCCCCCGTATGTTGATCTGTTTTTCAGTTCAGCCATTGTGCCTCCTGAAGTTCAGAAATAATTTAAATGTGAACGTGAGTAACTTTACCCTCTAGGGAGGGTGAAGATACGTGTTGATGGTTTTCTATTGTTTTCAGCTCTACAAGTTGGGAAAAGCAAAAGCTTCCTACAGAGAATAGTGTTTTGCTTTTAAAAGAAAATAGAGAAACCACTGTGTAGAGAGGGGTGGCAAGGCCCACAGCCTGCTTCCTGTGCACCCCCCACCAACTGGCTGCCTTCCCTTATTTCTTATCACTGGAAAGTTCCCTGCCTGAAATCACCAGCCCTGTTGCTTAGCAGTTCATCTGCTGCTGCCTGTTCCCCTCCTGTCCCCAAACTCGGGGCCATGTGTTCCCTTGGCCCATATGCTGACACGCATCATCCCACCCCACCTGCCACCAGCTCAGGCAGCAGCCAGGGCCACCTGCTCAGTGTCTGCCCCTCTCTAACTTCCAGAGGCAGGAGTTGGGAGTGGGAAGGGAGTGGAGAGAGGTAGGGAAAAAATGATTCCTCAGACAAAGGGCCTCCAGGGCTTCCC